AAGCAGAATTGGGAGAGCTAGAAGCTCACAAAACTGTAGAACCTCTTCTTGATCATTCAAAGGGGAATTTTCAGGCATTTTCTACTAGAGATCAGATTAGGATAAATAGACACTTGTACCATTTGAATAACATTCAAAACATACTGGGATCACAGAGATACAGAGACACCATAGATTCAAGAAAATTTACATTTAGCTTATGTATGCATTTATATGCTATCTGATGCTCAAAAGAACTTGAGGTGGCTTACAGCACAAATATAAACAAAAAAATAAAGACCAAATAAGAACAAAGACAAATAGAAAAGTAGAAAATCTAGACCATGACAAAGAAGAAAACTGATGTATAAAGGCCAACGTAAATATAATAAAAGAGTTCAAATTTACTCCTGAGTTTCTTGGCATTACAAAGCAAAAGTGACATAATTATTATTAACTAAACAAATAAAAAAGACAGCTTCAGAATGCCCATTCTTTCAGCTAAGCAAACTTGAACGAAACAGAATTTAGAATCTCCCTTGTCAGCCAAGCTTTTGTTAGATTTTGAATAGCAAACAGTTCAAAGTTGCATTCATTGGTGAGTAGTTGGTGTTTGCAAAAGTTTTTGAGAGCAGACCTATAAGCTCCAAATGCTGACAGAAAGATAAAGTTGAGTAGCTTTCCCCAGGTCTTTTGCCTGCCATCTGCAAACCAGAGGTTTCCATACTAGGGGCTTTGGGACGGATTCCAGCACACAAAAGGTCTCAACTGATTTATCAAAGTGCTCCATTATGAAGCTTTTGCACAAGATTATTTAGAATTGAAAAATATTCCAACCAGTTGCTCAACCTGTCTCCTAAAAAAACATAATGAAAGCTTTAATACTACTACTATTTAATGACCGATGTGGGGTGTCCCAGTTCTTAGGGAATCTATCAGCTTGAAATAGCCCCGAAATATTCTCCCTCAAATCTCAAAATTAAATAATTTACTCTTCACTTGAAAGTAAGTTGATAGAAACCAGTGGAAACTTGGAACTAGCTGCCAATTATGATAATTTCGGTTTTGAACTTGTTTTCCACATTAACTGAGGGCTAGATCTAACTGTTGAGGTCACCTCTGATTTGTAAGAATGAAACAACATTATCAATATATACAATGTATCAATGTATACTTTCTTTTCTTTATTGCATCATCATCTGCAACCTGTTCATCTAAGGATGGTTTTATTTAGTAAAATTATAAGTTAAAAATAAGAGAGACCAGAATACAATCTAGTTTAGAGCCCTCAAAAGTATTCTATAATTTGTCAGATAGTTTTACTCAACACTCATTTTTCTGAAGTGTCAAAGTGCAGGAATGCAGATTCAATATGGAAAACATAAGAGTTTATGTTATATAGTTAGCCTCATATATGGTATCTGTTACAGGTCTAATATAGATCAAAAGTCCAGAAGAGTTGGAAGTCTATAGGGTCCAGCCCTACGAGGCTTAGCAGGTGTTCTCCCCGTGTGCGGAGAGGAAAGACTATAATAAATAAAGACACGAGACAAAGAGGTAAAGAGAAAACAGCTGGGCCCAGGGGACCACTATCATCAAGACGCGGAGATCAGTAGTGGCCCCAAATGGCTGGGCATGCTGAAATTTATTGCATACAAGACAAGGGGGCAGGGTAAGAAGGGTGAACCTTCTAAGTGATTGACAAGGTGAAGCAAGTCACGTGATCGAAGGACAGGGGGCCCTTCCCTCTTAAGTAGCCGAAGGAGAGAGAGAGAAGGCAGCATACATCAGTGTTTTCTCCCACGCACTCATAAGAAAGATAAAAGACTTTAAGATTTTCACTATTTCTTCTACTGTTATCTACTACGAACTTCAAAGAGGAACCAAGAGTACGGGAGGAACATGAAAGTGGACAAGGAGCATGACCACTGAAGCACTGCACGACAGGGAGGGGTTTAGGCCTCCGGATGACTGCAGGCAGGCCTGGATAATATCCAGCCTTCCACAAGAAGCTGGTGGAGCAGAGTGTTCCCTGACTCCTCCAAGGAAAGGAGACTCCCTTTCGCAGTCTGCTCAATAACGGGTGTCTTCCCAGACACTGGCGTTACTGCTTGGCCAAGGAGCCCTCAACTGGCCCTTATGCAGGCGTGACAGAAGGCTCACCTCTTGCCTTCTAGGTCACTTCTCACAACATTCCTTCAGCACCTGACCCTATACCCCCCGGTTATTCTTAGGTTATATTAGTAATGCAACAAAGAGTAATATTAAAAGCTAATGATTAATAATGTTTATAATAATGATTGATAATTGTCCATGATCATCTCTATATCTAATTTGTATTATAATTATTTTTATTCTAACTATTTTCTTTATTATACTGAAACAGTTTGTGCCTTCAGTCTCTTGCCTTGGCACCTGGGTAATCCTCCACCTATGGAAGTCAACATATGTATGTTAAAGTCAACATATGAATGTTTAATTATAATAAGAATTATTGGCTGGGCATGATGGCTCACCCCTGTATTTTCAGCACTTTGGGAGGTCGAGACAGGTGGATCACTTGAGGCTGGGAGTTCGAGACCAACCTCACCAACATGGCAAAACCCTGTCTCTACCAAAAAAAATACAAAAATTAGCCAGGTTCAGTGATGCGTGCCTGTAGTCTCAGCTACTGGGGAGGCTGAGGCCAGAGAATTGCTTGATCCTGGGAGGTGAAGGTTGCAGTGAGCCAAGATTGCACCACTGCACTCCAGCCTGGGCGATAGAGTGAAAGAGACTCTGTCAAAAAAAAAAAATTATACTGACCGGAGTCAACCAATCAGAACATTTTTCAAAAACTTATGGTTTCACCTTTTGGGCAGGATGTAATAGATTATTGTTCCCACTGCCACAGTCAGACAAGCCCATACAAATTATTCAAAAAGCCACAATTTTGAAGAATCAGAGATCTTTGGAAGCAATGAGAACTGGAACAACTAAAGCTACAGAGAGAGAAAACCATTTCAAGGTGATCTGATGAACATGTTATTTTTTTTTTTCCTCATTGGGAGCATTTGACAAATGCAGATGTGGGATGAAAACTGCCTTATCTAAGACATAGGGCACCTGCAGAAGTAAAGAGAAATAGGCAAAGTTTTTGGCAGTCACACCGACTTAAAGTTACCCATTAGAAAACTTAGAAGGTTTCAAAGGCATGGCCACATGGGACATTTACCTAGTTTTGGGTGTGTAAGAAAGCCTCATGAACTAGATAGAAATCTTTAAAGCATAAAATTTTACACATGGTGCTAAGAAAGACCCATAAGAGCAGAGGGTCTACCTCAAGACACTTCCCAAATTTAGAATTTGTGTGGTAAGTAAGGCTAAAGAGCTACAGTGACAATCTGTGAAGTGAAGGACTGAATCTCCCACCATTTTCAGGACTAATGCTCTCAATCACAAAGCCATACCTGGCAAACAGAAGAAATCTTAAGAGCCATACCTGGCAAACAGAAGAAAATCAAAGGAATGAAATCATGTTATCAATGTATACAAACATGTAAAGTTACCTTCTTTTCTTTATTGCATCAGCATCTGTAACTTGTTCATCTAAGGATGGTTTATTTAGTAAAATTATAAGCTAAAAATAAGAGAGACCTCCAGACAATCTAGTTTAGAACCTTCAAAAGCATTCTGTAATTTGTCAGATAGTTTTACCCAACCCTTATTTTTATGGTAGTATTTTTATGGTAGAACTGGGTTTTACAACTGAAACCCAGCCCAGGCTTAGTTCAATTCCTGATTATATTGAAGTAATTAATGACTGACCCTTTCCCTTTCTGCCTAGCAGATCAAAGGGGACCACTCTTGGTATTGAAGTTCATCTCATCGGGAGCATCTGTGATTCTTTTATATACAATGTACATTCTACAATAGAGGCAGACCCAGAAATAATTCAGATATTGGAGTTAGAAGATCAGGATTCTAAAATAAGTACAATTAATATTTTCAAGAAAACAAAGGAAAAGGTGGACAGAAGAGATTAAAGTGTGGATAAATTTAGTAAGCAATTTGAATCTTTTTTAAAACAGCATTAAACAGATATTCTGGAAATAAAATGTACAATGTTTGAAATTGGGAACTTGTTAAATGGACTTAGCAACAGTTAAGGTGTTTTTGATTCAACTATTTTGCTGTCTCCAAACTGAGGTACAGAGAGGGAAAAAAGTAAAAAGGAACAAAAAACTGTAAGAGGCATGCAGAACATGTCAAAAAGCCTAACATATATATGATTGGCATTTTAGAAAAAGCAAAAAGAGGAAATGGCCCAGATGCAATATTGGAAAACATAATGACTGACAATTTTCAAAAGCTGGTGACGATCACATAGATTTACAAAGCTTAATGAAACCCAAGCAAGATAAATACAAACCAAAGCATATCCAAGCACATGATGGCCAAACAGCTGAAAAACCAAGAGCAGAGAGAACATCTCAATAGCATCCAGAGAAAAAAAGACAAGTGTTCTCAAAACAGCAACAGTAAAAATTATAACTGACTTCTTAATAGAAATGATGGAAGCCAAGAGAAAATGGAACAAGGAAACAGAGGATATAGTTAAGGTATTGAAAGAAGGAAATACCAAACATAATTCTAGACCCAGTGAAAAGACACTTTAAACTGAAAGAAAAATATATTTCAGGAAAAGAAATAGTAGAATTTGTCATGACCAAGCATGCCGTACAGGAAAGACCAAAAAACGTTCTTTAGAAAAAAAAAAAAATCACTCCAGAAGAAAACATGAAAATGTAGGAAAGAATAAAAAACACTGGAAAAGATAACTATGTGGGCAAATATTAACTTCATATTGATTCTTCAAAATAATAATTGCAATATTTTGTCATTTCAAATACAGTTGAGCCTTGAACAACACAGGTTTGAACTGTGAAAATTCACTTATACATGGATTTTCTTCTGCCTCTGCCACTCTTGAGACAGCAGAACCAACCCTTTTGCTTCCTCTTCTTCCTTAATCTATTCAGTGCAAATGTGATGAGGATGAAGAACTTCATGATGATCCACTTTCACTTAATCAATGGTAAATATATTTTCTTTTTCTTAGAATTTTCTTAATAACGTTTCCTTTTTCCCTAGCTTACTCTATTGGAAGAAAACAGTATATAACACACAGCATATAAAATATGTGTTAATCAACTGTTTATATTATTGGTAATGCTTCCAGTCAACAGTGAACTTATTAGTAGTTAAGTTTCCGGGAAGGCAAAAATCATACACAGATTTTTGGCTGCACAAGGTGTCAGTGTCTCTAGTCCCTGCATTGTCCAAGGTTCAACTATATATGTAAAACTAAAATTGATGACAAATGTAATGCATTGCAAAGGGAAGTAAGTAGAATTAAAAGGTTCTAGCACTGTGGAGACAGTGGTAAAAGTGCTAGTCTGTTTTGACCATCATAAATCAAGGCTACATGTCATAATCTCCAGGATAATCATTAAAATATAGTTTAAAAAATGTTCATAGAAGAAAAAGTGGAATAATAAAAAAATGTTATTAATCCATTATACATCAAAAAAAGGATTAAAAAAGATAAAGGAAAACAGGTGAGCCAAAGAGCAAACAAATAATAGAAGGTCAGATGTATACATGATTGCAATCTGATACATGATTGTACTAGTAATTACATTAAATATTGGCTATATTCTCCAAGTAAAAGATTAAGATTGTCAGACTAGATAACACAATGTGGATTTGCAAGTTGTTTATTTTTAGCTACAAGAACTACAAGGACTGATACTATTGGGTCCTAACCTTAGAAGGTCTGAGTTCCACCATATTTGACATAGTTGATCTAGAATTACTAAGTTGGGAGGTGAACTATAACTATTCAAGTCCAGGAAAATGATACTGATCTAAGCCAGATTTAGTAAATATTTAAAAGTTCTGAGATGCTCGATTATATCTAGTTTGTATGGCTTTAAAATTTAATCTAATTTAGTATAATGTTTTATAAACAGAGGAATTAAGAATTCAAAACTTTTAGGTAAATCGTGCTATCTTCTGGGAAATTAGACTCACTGCAAGTTTATTAAATGAAGGTATGTCCGTACCAATCCCCCAAAATGAAAAACTGCAGTGAGAAAAGCATTTTCTCTCTCCCTCCATTTCTCGGAAGACTTGAGAGTGAGGATGAAGCCACTGAGTGCCTCCCTGGCTGTCTGGTCGGAAACCTCTGCAGCCAGGACAAAATCCTCTCAAGACATTCCTTTAATTATGACTTTAAATGAGAGGCTGGAGAACGAAGGCCGCAAACATTGTTGGGTGTTAAACTCAACGAAAAGCCCAGTTTCTGTCTCAGAGAAAACTAAACGATTGTGTCATGTCTCATGAAATAGCCTCTAGGTAGTAAAATGACTAGGGTAGAGAATGAGGGAAGAAGCCTGCCCCTTCTAAAAATGTCCAGAATCTTGATGAATATGAGCCTAAGGAATTAAAGAGGACTGAAAAGGGCATTTCTTTTCCTCCTGGCAGCTCCTCAACGCTAGAGTTCACAAAAAAATCACAAAGGAGCTGTTTTTCTGAGTGTGTCAGGTGTGGCTCCTTACATGGAAATGACTGTGTCAGTAAGACGGGATTATTCTGGTTTCAATGGCTGCATTTATTATCTGAAATCTGAACATTGCATCACATGAGAACTATTTTATTGTATGCTAATTTATTGAAAATCAGTAATCCCTGTAACATAAAAACCATATGGTTTTATCTTTATTTGGTTATTCAGGGAACACACCAAAATCTTGGCATGCCTCACAGACGTCATTCTGAACAATAGTTATCAACAGCACCAAGAAGGAAAATGTGATTAGTTAGGCTTTGAAAACCTCCAGATTAATGAATGCTGGATGAGCATGGATTAATCAGAGTTTATTCAAAAGTTACTGAATATCTACATATGCCATATACATTTACCTCAATTATTTCTTTTAAACTTTATAGCCATTAGGTACATTCTGTTATTCCAGTTTTACCAAAGAAGTAATTGAAATTCTAAGAAGTTACACTATCTCTTTGAGGGCACAGAGCTAGTAATAAGGGTTTGGACCAGGACTTCTGAATCTAAGTCTAATATTCTTTCTACCACTCCTCTTGTTTGTCCACAATCTTTATATTTGTCATCACTGATAACCATAAACAACAGCAATGATAATCCAGAGAGTGGTACTTCTACACGTCTTTCTAATCTCTGCCAGGTGATTTCATTCTATAAGTGGATTTCTCTGAAATTCTTGAAAATAAAATCTGAAATGCCAAAATGAGCTTACAAGATGTAAACTCATTACAACACTGTAATGAGTTTACAAGATAATAGTATAATGATAAAGTTGGGTGAAGATGGGGCTTTGAGGCCAGGCATGGTGGTGGCTCATGCCTGTAATCCCAGCACTTTGAGAGGCTGAGGTGGGCGGATAACCTGAGGTCAGGAGTTCAAGACCAGCCTAACCGACATGGAGAAAATCCGTCTCTACCAAAAATACAAAAAATTAGCCAGGCGTGGTGGCATATGCCTGTAATCTCGGCTACCGGGGAGGCTGAGGCAGGACAATTGCTTGAACCCAGGAAGTGGAGGTTGCGGTGAGCCAAGATCATGCCATTGCACTCCAGTCTGGGCAACAAAAGTGAAACTCCATCTCAAAAAAAAAAAAAGATGGGCCTTGAATTTAGGCTTTCATACGGCAAGAAAGTCTGCTTTAGTTTTCTTGATTCTTTCTAAACTTCATTGACCAGAAATTTATTTGGGGGGAAGGCCAGGAAGTATACAAATGTGTTTTGGCCCATGGGGCAGTGTGGGTGATAATCATGTGACTTCACTCATGTGTAGGTGTCAGTGTGAGTCTCTGGATACTTAACAAGATCATCAATTTAGACCCACATGTCCAAGGGCAGATGGTCCTGATGGCTAAGGAAAAAGACAACTGGAAAAACAAATTGGAACTGCTGAAGGAAAGATGGCTCAAGGCTCAGCACTTCCTGTAAAGTGGCAAGTGAATTTAGCATTCGTGAAAATTTCCAGTGCTGTTTGGCATCTAGAGGGACCCAGGGAGAGCATTCTGCTCGCCTGTGCCACCTCCTTGCTCTGGCTGGGGCATGAATTGCCCTCTGACTCTGACCTGGCACAGCACTGCCCCGTGTTGAGGTCCATGCCCCTTTGTCCTCATCTGCTCTGCTCAGAGGTGCCCCTTCTGTGCTGCTCCTAAGGGTGCCTGCCAACTATGCTGCCAGGAAATGCGGGCACTGAACAGAGTTGGTTCAGAAAGACGGGAAAGCAGAAAGCAGAGAAAGAGCCCATGCCCTTGAGGGCAGAGAGCAAGGGAAGAGCGTGGGCAGAATGGAGTTGATAGATGGGAGCCCAGCAAAGCTAACACGCCCTCCTCACCTCTTCAAGACACTGGCAACACCTATATTGGGTACTGGTCTTTCCCGGGTTTTCCTCAACGCTATCTAATCATATAACTCAAAGGTTCTCAGGGACCAACTGATTAAATCTCATTTAATTGAAGAGAAAAACAGACTCAGAGAAGTGAGATTCCTGTGGTCATCCTGAATTAGCCAAGGCCTGGGAATCAGGATGTGAGTCTAGTCCTTCCATATGCCAGTAGTTTTGCTACATTATTCTGACTAGGCTGAACTGTTTTGCCAAGAACATCCCAACTCCTAGCTACTCACTGTTCCTTACACCCTCTCTACTTATTCTTAATTCTTCTTAGTTCCTGAGTCCAAGCTTCACTCAGTTTACCCCTTCCTTCCACAAACATTGTCCTTGAGCACCTTGATGGGACAGGCACACAGTGAACCAAGTCCCTGCTCACCTTCTAGTAGTGGAATGTATGTTCTCCTAGAGCCAACATGTCAGAGGGTTTCTTCAACATCTAACTCCATTCATTCACTTACTTTACAGTTTCCAAAAACCATCTGCATTTTTAATTTTAACCTGAACACTTTAATTTCCTTCTCTTCCCATTCAAATCTCCCAATACTAAATGATTTAAGTATTATTTGAAGTGACAATTCTATTCACTCTCATAAGACTTTGAGTGCTTTGGTGAAAACCCCACAATGACCTCAGGCCTGATTAGCCTAAGGAAAGGAGGTTACTGCCTTTTCCCAGTTTTTAAGCCCAAAACAGCAGGGATGGGGGGTACATGTTGAACCAGCTGTATGAGAAGCAAGTATGAATGGAACATGTACATGCAGGACAGGAAATGTGTAATGGTTGGGCTGGGTGGCCGTGGCAAGTTTCTAGAGACATTCCCACCAGAAATCAGGCTGAGGTCCACAGATGGACAGAACCACCAGGGAAGGAAGCACAGCCCCAAAAGGCATAAACCAAGGCTCGTTCTGGCAAATGAGAATTCCTGAGGCACCCAGGCTTCTTTCCACAAATCTCAAGCAGTGGAATATGCGTGTTCATTTGTTCTACTTAATAGTGGGTTATCTAAATCTGTTGTCTCTTTCCTTCTTTTAAAAATTATTTGTTTTGTGTTCTTTTCTTCTCAGAAAACCAAAAGAACCTGCCTTACTATGCACCTATGGCCCATCAAAGGTGAGAGTAGAATCTGCCATGATTTAGAAGCAAACAAGAAAAAGTACACGTCAGGTGAGTAGCTGCTAGCTAAGAACTTGGGCATTGGGGTCAGACAGGCCTGGGTTTAAATCCTGGCCCTGTCATTCTGGGGAAACATGTTTTTGCTTTCTCCTCTATGAAATAGAGGCAGTGGGTATCCTGAACATGTCACCTTTACTTGTCCAGCTCATCAGTCAGGGTTTGGTCAGAGAACTGCTGTAAACGTTATGGGAATAAGGGATTTTATTCAGAATTAGAGCCTGCACAGATGTAGAAGGAGGCATGAAGCGGGTGTTGGAGGATTGGTCACTATGTAGTCCTGCATCCTAAGTCTGTGGTGAGGCTGGACACATTCAAGCTTGCAGGAGAATTGGAGAAACGAAGCAACACAGCGATGGAAGTGAGACTACTGAAGGTAAGCTTGGGAGGGGGTCCTCGACACCACCACATCAGCGGATCCACAGCTAAGTGATTGGTGGTGGCCTGGGGTGCTGCTCTTTAGCAGGGATGAGAGTGGAGCGGACAAGCTGGACTCGGAACAAACTGGGAGCATCTGCATCCAACCATGACGGTCTGGCCATGACAGTGGTTAGAGAGGAGTGGCTTCTGTGAAACTCTCACAGTCTCAAGTCTCCCACAAATCCCTCTTTCAGCTAACTCTAAACTTGTACCATAGAAGAAATGGATTCTGAAAACTTGGTCTCCAACCTTAGACAAATTGAATAATATGTCCTCTCCTGCTTCTTCTGTAACTGAATTTGCATTGGAAAGCAGGCCTGTCACTCTCAGACTTTGTGGTTTGAGTAGGGCTCACTTCAGCACCACCTTTTCCTCCTCTCAGTGCCAGGGACTGGCATGAGACTCGGGCCTGGCCAACTGAATGTCACACACCTATGACCATTAGTTGGCTCAAAGATGAACTCAGGACACCATCACAGTCAATGAGACCCTGTTAGGGAAATTTGTCAGAACCATACAAAGAAATAGCTCCACTTTTCCAGAGAGATGAGACATAAGCCTGGACTAACTGTTGTCCAACTTTCCATCAAGAGAGACCTCTGAGAAGATAGAGGAAAACTGGGGAAAGCGAAGTCTAAGGCAGGCAAGTAAGGGCAAGTCCAGTTGACATCATATGAATCACCTGAACCTAGAAAACAAGGCATAGCTGGATTCAAAGCCAAGAAAAATTGGCAGCTGGCTTGAATCAGTTTCTATCACTTGCAGTTGAAAAGGACCAGACTAATCCGATAGAGTTAACAGAGGAACAAGTAAGCAAGATTCTCCCCTACAGTAAGTGCTCAATGCATGTCAGCTGGTATTATTATTATACAGCCTTCCATTTCTAGCCCTTTTATTTCTACCACCTCTCTTCTGTGTTTTATGTAAAGTGCATTAAGGATTGTTCTGTTTGGAGACATCAAACCATATAAAATGACACCAGCAGGTCCCTTTCTGTCTGTCAGTGTCCACAAGCTCAACAATCAGGATCAGCAAACAAAAACAGCTAAGCTGGAGTCAGTGTTTTTATGAAGAAACAGGAAAAGAGCTTACTTAGGAATTGTAGCTCATCCTCCAATATTCTCCATTCTTTTCATGACAGTTTCTTCTTGGCCCTGAAGATGCCTCTTCATGACTCCCTGCCTCTGTCCTTTCTTCATCTCACTTACATATTCCAACAAGGAGTACAGCAAGCCTTGGGATGAGGACCTCCAAAGGTCCTCAGTATCCTTAGGACACTCTGAGTGCAGAACTGGAGGGACTGAGAGGAGGAGCTTTTGCAGGTTAAATGACTAGTAAATGGCCTTTCTTTATATTTCCACTAGAAATGAGATTAGCTACACTTGAGAAGGAATGACTTTGGAACAACTGATCCCTAGCTTTCTTTGAGATGCAGGGAGTAGTAACCACCTAGTTAATCAGTGAAAGCATATTTATAAAGTTCACAGGGTACATAGCATATAGCAGCTGTTCTCTATCTCAATTGAGTTTTGACTAGGAAATGGGCTTAGGATAAAACACGTGGGCTTTCGAGTAATCATTTGTAAGTAATTGTAGATAGTGACCACAGTTTAATAGCATAGATATATTATGAAAAGTCACTGAAATACCTTCTCTGGAAAATGTTAGAAACTCAAGTAGAATGGCTTAGTTAAAGGCGAGTGGGAGAGAAACTTGAAGAATGCGGTCCAGTACAAGAATACCCCATTTTCCCCCCAAGGCAATGAATCCCTTTTCATGCATCTAGTGACATGAAGTAATCATAGTTATTTATACAGGAACAATTTAGGAGACTTAGAATATTCACTTCTTTTGCCTTCTAGCTGAGCATCAAGATTCTCTCCGTGTCTCTGCCTCTCTCTCTCTCTCTCCATTTTCCACTTCTAGCTCCAACTATTTTAAATCCCTCCCCCAATAGAGCCCATAACAAACATAAAACAACATTTGTTTTATGTTTACAGTAGATGTTCAAGCTAATATTTATGTAGGTATAGCCCCAGCATTAAATTAAGGTTTGGTTCACCAAGAGGGTGCCTAGAGACTTCACCTCTATTTCCATGAGGGACTGAACAGCCTCTTGAGAAGGGACTCATCAAAATGGAAGAGTTGGCAATAAGAAGTTTGGCTCAATAACCAAGCACTGAAGTTGCAGAGGAGAAAGGATTTGAAGGGCAGTACAACGTTCAGGGGCAAGTTGGCAATTTTTAGCAGGAGCTGAAGTGATGCCAGCAGAGGTAACAGTGCTCAGAGGGACCAGCAGTCCCCAGGAGGAGCAGGGGAATCCCCAGTGGATCTGATTTGTTCGAGAGCCCATGTGAGATTATCAGCTGGCGTTACAATTTTGGAGTGGCAGTGAGAAGCAGTGAATTTGAGGTCACTCAATTTGCAGACCCCAATGGGTGAAATGTTGAGAAACATGGGTTACATATGTATTTGACAACTCTTGTGTATTATCACAAATCCTATTTCACCTCTCATGCCCCCGAGGCTTTGGTGTCCAGTTCCCTGAAGACTTCATCAATCCTCAGTCACAAATCACCTGAGAGCCACTCACCTTGCTCCATACTATGAAGCTCCCTGATGTCACAACATGGCGGGCCTGTGGAAACCCCTCTGCACTTATGCATGATCCCAAACAGCTAGAGGATTAACACCTACAGTGTAACCCTTGAGCAGCAGGAAATGGAAATTATTGTCTTTTTGTCCCCCCAGGGGAACAGTTCTAAAATGCATTTTATAAAGCTTCTGAAATAGTTCCACAGGTCAAGCACCTACTTGCTCCAGTGGTGACCAACTCAGTGGTGCATCCTTGGGTTGACTCTCCCTCGTTTCCAGTTCACTTTCCCTGCCCTTCACTTCTGCACCTCAGCATCACATTCCTGAATAAACCACTCACACATCTTTCTTATTTCAGACTCTGTTTGGGGGAATCCACAATACAAATTTGTTATTTTGAGTTAAACATTGTTCTCACCTTGAAGACATATTTCCATACCTAGAGATTTCTGACATTCTCTCCCTTTTCCTACCATCTCCTTTGTGCTTTCTCTGACCTCCATATTCCAGAACCCCATGACATTTAGAGCCAGTACTGCTAGGGAAATAGTTCAGTTGTGTTTTAAATGGTTCAGCAACTTGTAACATCAACTGAGAACCAGGGGAATACACTCGGAGGCCAAGAAAAAAAATGTTAGTTAATATGTACCATAGAGTATGATTCCTTGGGTAAGGGAAAGTTTATGCAAGTGACAGAGGAAAATTGAAAGTTGTAGCCCTTTTTTCAGAATTTATATTTGGAATTAAAGTTTCTCTTCTCTTGAAAGACCTTCTTTTTGTGATGAATCTGAAGCCCGGAACAGTTGGCCAATTTGCCCTAGTTGAGAGTGGCAAATAAATGAAGAGCTGAAGAATGTGTCTCTTTAACTAGTGCTCCTTGGTTGAGAAGATACAAAAAAAATTGAAGGGTACGGATGAATCCACTGGCTTTTTCACGTCTCTGTTGATCATAATGAGATTAATATATATAGGACATTCACACAAAGGGGATGTTGACTCGATGGCTTACAGATTATTAGAGTTAGAAATGTTACCTACTACTAAAGGAAGAACGTTTCAGGTGTGGATCTCTGATTTAAAAAATACACCACACTTGCCTCAGTGAAGCAAGTCAACTTAGGTGCTGACACAATGCCACTGCAGATGCAGATGTACTGAGTTCATGAAATCAGATCCCACTCTCTCCACCTACCCCTACTGTATTCATCCTACTTTCCATCTGTTCTGCCCTTCCCATTTGGTAACCTATTCATGAAACACCTGGCTCTGGGTCCTTCAACATCATTCCATGTTTTACTGCTAGCATCACTTTTCTTGGCACAGAACCTCTTAGGGCTGCTATCCTAGGAGTAGGTGCCACTCAGGCTGGCTTAGTCCCAGGCTTCACTCACTTCTTGGCCCATGCCCTGGAGGACCAGAAAGAACAAACTCTCTGCACAACATCTCTGCATGTGACCACAGAGCCCCCATCTGAGCCTTGCTGGTAGAGAAGAATATGCTGCCTCACAAGATAACTGTGTGGCTCTGTTCAAAAACTTAGAAGTTATTTCTTTTATTGCATTAGAATTTGCCTCCCTGTAGCTTTTGTGCCTCTGTCCTGGTTCAGCCTTAGATAGCAGTGCAGCCTGGTCCATGTGAAAGCTCTTGCAATAGGCATTTCTGCTAGTCAGGAGTTCTCGGACCCATCTCTACTCTTTACTTTTCTCAAGATTAATATCAGACTCCTGGGTTCAAGGAGTCTTCAAGGTTTCCTCATACCATAAAAGTTCTAAGCCCTCCATTGTCCTAGTCACTGTCCTCTCTGTTCTATCCCTGTCTGCCCTTCCAAGATGCTGCACCCAGAGATTTTGTCCTTCCTGGGGCAAGTCACCATGAGATGTTTACTTTTGGATCATACTGAATTTGTGGGTTAAATAAACTCATAGGTCTCTGTCTCATGAACTAAATCCAAATTCCATCTCTTGCCATAAATCGTTTTTTGAATAGTTGAACAGTAAGTAAATAATACACAAATGAATACTAATCAATATTTGAACATCCTCAATATTTTCAGCCCTAGTTTGAGCCAGAGATAGCTTATCTTGTGTACTTCACTAAGGACACTTTATATTATCAAGCAATTAATATTATGATGATGTTATGATGTCATATCTCAACAAGCCCCACAGTATCACTTCCAGTCTCTTCACCACAAAGAACCCTGAAGCCTTCATATTTTTCTGAAAATCATATTTCTAGCCACAGGATGGGATGTAAGAAAAGTTCAGATTAGGATTATTCTAGGCTCCTGACTATAACTAAAATCCTGATTTTTATGGAAAGGAATAGGGATCATTCCTTCAAATTAGATATTTGTGATAAAAAGAAAAAAGTTGGTAATCTATGCAAATTTTTAACAAACAGAACTTCATTTTCTTTGGAAAATAGTAGTTGAACCCTTTTCTTATATATGAATTGGGGTGCAATAGAGTTTAATAAAAATGATGGGGAACACTCTTATAAGGCTAATTTATCACATTTCCTTCAAGGAATTGTTCTTTCTAACGAAATTGTGAAATGGAACTCAACAATAGCATGATGGGGCCTCTACCAGGAGGAGGTACAGAACAAGGCAGGAGGTCAGTGGTTAAAGGACTCCATGCTTATGCTCAATAAATGTGGATCTTATTAGACGTGACATATGAACGGTGCAAGGTGCCTCGATGGCCTTCATGGGGTCATGAAAAGCTGTGAGAACACTGTGGAGGATGAATGCAAATCCACAATATTAGGATGAATGTGAGAGGAGAAGGGAAGGAGGCCATGAGGGAAAAAATGACATCTAATTGGATCTGAAAGGGAAGGTAGAATTAAAGTAAAGAACACTGTGAACATATGGGAATACCATGTACTTTCTCATGGAGAGAGGCCTTCCGAGAGTTCTGCACTGATACCTCTTCTTTGACCATCCCTTGTTAGCCAGCAGGTCATTTGCCCTCATCAGTTGCCTCAGTGCTGAGTGGTAGACTCAGCAGTCCCCAACCTCTTTGGCACTAGGGACTGGTTTCATGGAAGGTAATTTTTCCATGGATCAGAGAAGGGATGGTTTCAGGTTGATTCAAGTGCATTACATTTATTGCACACTTTATTTCTAATACGATTACATTGTAATATACAATGATATAATTATACAACTCGCCATAATGTAGACTCAGTGGGTGCCCTGAGCTTGTTTTCCTGCAACTAGATGGTCTCATCTGGGGGTGATGGAAGACAGTGACAGACCATCAGGCATTAGATTCTCATAAGGCATACACAACCTAGATTCTTCACATGGGCAGTTTACAATGAGGTTCACGCTCCTATGAGAATCTAATGCCTCTGCTGAAATGACAGGAGATGGGGCTTAGGTAGTGATGGGGAGCAGCTGTCAATACAGATGAGTCTTTGCTTGCTTGCTTGCTGCTCACTACCTGCTGTGCTGCCTGGTGCCTAACTGGTACTGGGGTTGGGAACTCCTGGTAGACTAACAACAGAACAAAGCCAAGTCTCAAGGAGAGAGAGTTGTGTAGATGCCTGCCTGCCCAGTCTCTGTTGTGGGGGCCAAATCACCCAAGACCTGCATTTAATTCCTTATGGGCTTAGGCTGTGAATTCATGTAAAATCTCAAGAAACCAAGATGACAGGCCAGGGACCAAAGAGCAAAAGACCATAGCTATGGTAGGGGAGGAGACAAAGTCAATCCCACGTGGACAGATGGTGATGATGCTTATCAGTTCTGTTCTGTCATTCCGTAAAGGTAAAAACTTGTGTTCTTTTTCCTAGCACAGTCCAGATGGTATTGGCTGTGATTAAAGAAAATTCAGACATGTGTGGGTGTGGCTGCAATAGACATTCATGAGGGCTTTCGTTTTTATTTGAAAGGGGCAGAGTAAGTATTTGTGAACACTGGATGATGATAAAGAAAAAGAAATGGTGTCTAGTATCCTACCTGGCCTCATGGACCATGGCTAGAGGGGTTAGAGGCAAAGTCAAAGGAAGCTGCCACCATAAAGGGCTCTGTGAATGCTGTTTAGGTTGAAATGTGTGACATAGCACTGGGAAGTGTTTCACTGCATTAGCTCAGGCCATAGCACGACCCTTAACAAACTCCTTAAGGTGATGGTCCCCTTGGCATAAGTATTGGGGTTAAAATCGAGGTTAACCTTAGGAATAGTATGGTTAAGATTCCCCTGCGTGACTTTGGAAGTTGAAGACTCTGATCAGGAGAACTACAGCAGGAAAGAGAAAATATGACTGAGGCTAAGTGGTGACTTGATATTGACTGATAGGTGAACACAGGAATGAATTTCAGCAAGAACCCCAATGAACGTCTGGGGAGTAGAGACCGTGTATGAGCAGGACGGAAAAAAAAAACAGAAGATTCAGGTAGTGTCCTGTCGTGTGTCTCTTTTACAGTCGTGAAATGAAGGACTTTCAGTGTTTTCATTGAGCACCAATCAATTCCCTCTTTGCAAAAGACCATATTGGAATAGCATCAAGGTTTAGGGATATTAAAGCAATACAATGACACTGGAATGACCACTGAGAACCAGCAAACTTCTTTAGCCCTTTTATCCTCAGGCACTCTGGAAGCCATGAATCTGGTTTACTTGCTAAACTGTGTGTACTGCACAGAGTACAATGGTAAAGCAACAAAGATTGGCTCTAAAATCTCTTGTAAAGGGAAGAGTGGTCATCCCTTTAGATGGCAAATTGAGTTTCTATAATGGGGTTTGCTCTGATGTCAAATTTCCACTCAGGCAACAAGACATTCTGTTGTTTAAAGCCCTAGATGGGTGATGTTTCTTTCACATGCAAGGCCTGAATGCTTCATTGAGCTCTCTTTTATCCACACACACTCATTTAAACCTTTGTCAAAACTATCCTTTAGCATTTGCATCTCCTGTGCAGGCAGAAGGGTCAATGGGGATAATCAGGAGAGATGAGGTGCACTTTCAGAAGCTGGAGCTGAGAAGGTGATGGAAGTATCTGTAAAGTCGTTGAACAGCTGCACAAACTATAGGGGAAGAATTTCAGGAAGCAAAAGGGGAATAGCCCTTTCCTCTTAAACCAAAGCAGAGCACAGCTCCAGAGGCACTTATATGGAGAGTTCAATGGAATGTGAGCTCTAAGAGTGGTTGAGAATCTGACAAAAACAGCCATCTGCCAACCCAAAATTAAAACTCCTCTGTTTAGCACCCAGTAGAGAAAGTCAACCAGATTGATTTCCCAAACAAAGAACCTTAAAAGCATCACCTAAGAAAGTGTGTCAGGATCCACAGACATCCAGAGCATTCTCTATGGTTCATTACTTACATTATTCCTGTCTATTTACACATAATGTTTAGATGTAAAATCCTTACAATGAAAAGGGTGTATATGCTTTTAAAAAAGGCACAACAGAGAAGAGTTGAGCAGGTGGTGTGCTGGCTCACAGATGGCCTTGAAAAAGAGGGTAATCCTAAGAATTAGAATGAGTTGGTGGTAGTTAAATAGAAAAGAACACAGCAAACTGCATGCCAGAGGCCTGCCAGTAGTTGAACTCTCTTGACCAACAACGGGCATGTGTGTGTGCTTTCTAATATAAATCTCTGCCATCGTCCAGGCCAGAGGTAATAAGCAATGGAATAAGGCAGTAGGAACAAAAAGTAAAAGACAGTGAGATGCAAAACCAACTTGGGTCTAGGAACAAGACCTTATCCATTTCAGAATCTATGGTGCCTCGATGGCACCTGGCACATAGTAGAGGCTCTGTATAAATTTTATTTGGCAATGGGCTCTAGAGACTTTGGGGGAAATGCTAATGTGCAAAAACATGTTTTCATTCTTCATAGGTGGGAGCTTCAATTTTTCCTACTTGCTTGCATATGATAATGAAGAATAATAATAGAAACTGAAATTTGCTCATTTGAGTTTCTCTCTACAGAGTAGGTAGATTCCCAACAGAGTACCTAGTATATGTTTGCTAAATTAATGAATGAATATGTGAATGAATAGATGAGTGAATCAATGAACACATTAAAGAATGAATCAGCAAATCAATGAATGAATCCATCATTTAGTCAATGAGTCTTATTCATCTTCTTCTAGATAGGCTTATATCTAATGGAGTGAAAGAGCCCTGGACTTGGACTCAGGGTTTATGCTTAATGTATTCCTTCCACAAATATTTACTGAGCACTTGAGCTGTACGCTAGGCTCTCTGCTACTACCATGATATGAAAGAATGCTAGAGCTATAGTGCAAAGAAGACGAACTTCCTCTTTTGTAAAGAAGAGGGAAGACACATAATAAATAATAATAATAATAAATATTAGTCCAGATAGCCCAAGGGTATGCAGAATTGAGTACTCTTTTATAGAGGGAGGTCAGGAAAGGACTCTCTGAAAGTGACATTGGAACAGAAATCTGCATAATGAGAAGGAACAAAATTAAAGTCTAGGGTAAGAGCACTCTAGGCAGAAGGTACAGGAAGTGCAAAGGCCCTGAGGCAAGAATTGGCCCAAATTGCCAAGGTAGAGAAACAAGAATGTGCCACTGTAGCTGGAACAAGCAGGGGAGGGGAGTAGGATGCCATATAAGGTCAAAGCAGTAGGGAGGACTTCCTTATTTTACCTGATTATGAATTGAGACAATAAGAACAATAGCTCATAGCTGTTGAGAGTTTACAATGTGTCAAGCATGATTGGACTGTCTTACTTAATCATCACAACAACCCAACAAGACAGGCAGGGTGATATTCAAAGTATTTCACCACTGGCATGTCATAGGCACCAACCAATCAGATAATGTCAGCCTCAACTATCCTCTAGCCATATAAGTGTAGACAGGCTTGATCTCGGGTACCACTATTTCTCTCACTTACTGGGTTAAAAAGGTGAGTTTAGAGATGGGGTCATCACCTCGGAATTAGACAGCTGTCCATTTTACCACAAACTATATATTGAAAATGGCAAGTAACCTACCTCTTATAAATGCTGCTTAGGGAGCTCAGGGGATTCTTTATGTAATATGAAAATAAGTGATGTCGGGATTTACTATCCATACTATAGAAGAAAGGGCACCATGCTAGGAGTATGAAATCATAGAACTACTCCTAGTACGAGACTTTGAGGAAATTGCTTTACCTCTCTGGTTGTCGGAAAACTTCCAGCCATGGGTAGTAAATGGGGGGTGCTACTGGCATCTTGTGGGTAAAAGCCAGGGGTGTGGCTAAACATCCTACAGTGCACAGGACAAGTAGCACTACAAAGAATCATCAGCGCTGGGTTGAGAAATCCTGCTATTGATCCCAGAGAGGTAACGGACATTGTGAGGTGTGACATTAGGGAGTGGTGGGGACTAGAGAAAACTTCAGAGTATGCACAGTACATTTGCTTTCTAAAGGCATTTCATATAAAAAATAATTTGTAAACTTTGTGAACTGAAGAGAACACATCTTCAGGCCAATTTTGGTCTTTTATGGCCTTAACCAGACTTGGTTGCCCATAATTTTCTTTAAACAGATGAGGATAAAAGTCTCCTAGTCCTGCAGGCATGTGTGTATGTGTGTGTCTGGGAGGGGAGGGGCGCGTACACATATATACATGCACACACATATATGCTCTTATACACAAACACACAAGAAGATTTATTTTTAAAGTGTTTTCAGAAGGTGAGGCTCTCATCCCCCTTAGAACCCAGTCCTGGTTTTTTTAATTCTGTAACTTTTCCCTCCTTCAGTTATACCAGCCCCCTTCCTCTTATTCTGACTTTGGCAAAGATGAAGCCCAGCTCCTCTACTCCACTCATAAGAGGAGCTTCTGGTTTTAGTTTTGGTCCCTTCATGTTGCCTAAAGCCCCTGGGAAGGAGGCACCCTCACTCACATTACTCCTTTAGCCTGTAGAGACAGATAGGCTAGAAAAGACAGGTCGGCCCCACGTTTACGATGTGCCCACAGAGTTATTTATGGTTTGTTTATCCACTCAATGCGGAGCAATTATGGCCTCTGACTTTCAGCTCCAAGGTGCATTAACAGATTTGGGGGTAAATTTTCAGTGTCAAGCTGCATAGTTGTACTGGGCGTTTCAGCCTCTCCCCATAAAGCAAACACAGCAACAATCCCAGACACTCAGGCACAGTGGCATTTTTAGAGAGACACCAATGACCCCATTAGTCGAGAAGCTGTGGGAAAGCCTGAAACAGGTGAAAAAGTGATGGAATTAGGAAAGTGAAGTTCTCTGATCGTCAGGCTCCGTGGATGGGCACAAGTGTGGCAGACATACTACAACAGATGTGGACCATGAGTTGGCACCATGATTTCAGGTACAGGAAAACCAAAGGTTGATGAGGGCACCAAGGCAAAGCCTCCAAGGTCCTGTGGGCATCAGTGCATACTGCTGAAGGGTCAGTTCTGCATCAAGGAAATACATTTCTGCAGTGATATAGGCATTTGAAAACCCTTGTACACTATAAACAACAGGATTGATGGAAAAGTAGGATAGGAGATTCTACACAAAGCCTACCTTTGTGTAGGGACCAGAGCACAAACAAAAGCAATCACTGGAAGCTCAGTGTGACTGGACATTAAAAATACACAATGACAATTGGTGGACATGTTGGCAGCCCTTCATTCACAGCAGGTCTGATGGGTGCCAGGCAGTGCTGATGATAATGGAGATCTGAGCTGTTGGGTCTGCTCTTAAGGTGGCCAAAGAACAACTGCAATTTGCCAGGAAGTGTCTGGGGTGAACTTCTTGAGGAAGAAGGCCTGAGTGCAGTGAAAACTTTTTAATTTTCTTAAAATAGAGCTGAAAAGATCCTTGTACCAATACAGCATCCACAATGGGGATTTTTCTTCCTTCTTCCTACTGTTCCATATTATACTGATGTTATTCACCCACATGTCAATGGTATACATTAACTCACATTACAGAAATGTTAGCAGTAGCAGAAGAGTCCATATGAGACAAGTGGATGGCCTGAGACCCTCAGAACTAAAGCCAGAGTGCCTACAAGATATGCTCATAAGTTTCTAGGGTCCTGAGTGGTTTCCAACAAAGATGGAGCCTGGATTTGACTTTGAGTCTGGCAGGGAGAAGTTAAGCACACAAAGCCTTAAACTAGTAGTCTGTGCAGTGACCCAAAAGCTCAAAGGAATGGTGGGGTAATGATATGGACAGGAGGCAGGGAAAGACTGGGAGGAAGAGGGCGGGGTCCCTAGCAAGGGCTTCACTCTCAGGGCTGGACCTGTAGATCTAATTGACAACATACATTCCTGTTTTCCTACCCAAATGTTATCTTTTCCAAAACCACCCTGGCCCACTGTGCCCCCCACCCTCTACCCATAAAAAGTCCAAGCTCCACTGGCAGAGAAACAGAGTGGCATGACAGAGAAGGAGAGAAAAGATGAAGCATCTGAACATCAAGAGGAGTTCGGCCAGGGACAGTCAGGGAGGAGTTCAGCTGGGGACAGTCGAACTCCAGGGGAAGATTACCTTCCCACTCTATACCCTTTCCAGCTCCCCATCCTTCTGAAGCCACTGCCATCACTCAGTAAAATCCTCTGCATACACTACCCTTCAATCCTTTCATGTGACCTGATTCTTCCTGGACACTGGACAAGAATTTGAGATGCACTGGGTGCAGGAACCCGAAAAGGCTGTCACACTGACTCTTCAGTGAGTTGTTTAACACTGAAGCTGTCCAGGGATGGCAAAGCTAAAAGAGCATTGTTTGTAACACATGCTGTCTGGGGCTCCAGAGGTCTCAGGCAAACCCTAGATGCTGCCATGGGCTGGTACGGGGTTTGTTCATGCCAAATGCCCAAAGGTACTCACCCCAGTTGCTGCACCCACTCACCTGTGTGCTCCTGCTCCCACAAGGGGTTTGAGGGTGGCAGCCAAGTAAATGAGCCACACCCTTGTCACAAGTCCCATGAAGGGGTCAAGGATCTCTCTCGTCTCAGCAGGGGATCAGAGATTCTGGGAGATACTGAAGAAAATGGGACTCACTTTCCAGACATTAAAGTTTTAATGACACTCTTAGACATGAGAAAGCAGGAAGGACTTGGTGGGCAAGAAAGTCAAAACAGAGATTCGACAAATATCTGTCTTTTTTCTGGTGCTGACAGATTGAAGGAGAAGGTAGAGGAAATGATAGCTGGATGGTTTTTGTGGAATCAACATTATTTAAATGCTTTCATTAAATTATTTTCAAAGAGGTGTGGCTTTAATCGTGTATCACCTCCAAGACAGGAGATAGTTATAAAGACCACCAAAAGAATTTCCACACACTAGGACTCAAAGGACTGGCAAAAGCATAGAAAGTCAATGGTTAACAAGTCAAAGACAAGAAGGGAAAAAGCCCACCAAGAGTAACATGGACCTCCACTATGACTGATATTTCTATCTGTTTTTCATGACTCAGGCTTCTCCTCTGGCTTTTACTTGAACTTGTTCTAGATCATCAAATGATACCAACAGGACCTAGAAGAGATATTGCACCTCCATAAAACAATTTATTCCCTGAAAAATATTGACTAGAGTAATCATAAGAAGCTCCTGAATCTGGATGGGAGCTCAGTAGATGACACAGTCCCTGCCTCTGTGCTATGTCCCCAAAGGCATTAGCAAGCTCAAGGCAACCACAAAATGGAAGTGAAACAGGAAATCTTGAGTATTTCACATAACATATTTGATATAGAGGGCTTAACCACACAAACAAAAATGCACAAGTCAATGAGTAAAAATTATACACTGTGACAATTTATAAACGATTGTTCACAACCAACAATTCTGCTTTTAAGTATTAATTACTAATTAATTGATTAACAAAATCTTTAGATCTGATTTTTTTTTTTTTTGTAAGAAACCCTCAGGAATCCAGCAATCTAATTTAAGTATTTATTTAACACCTCTATTTGCAAACATCATACTAGATGCTCTGCAGGCCCAAAGGAGAATCCTTAGACTCCTTGTTCCCTATAATTTATCAGAGGCATGTGGACCCAGGGTTTATGGAGTCTTCAGCTTATGGAGTCTTATGAGGGCCCTCTCAAGGAAATGAATACAAAATTACACATAGGAAATTGCTAGGTCTTATCCCAGGGCACTGGAAGAAACAGCTATAAGTGAAGGCTCTGAAGCTTAAATTCATTCGCTTCCTGATAAATCTATGCCTGTTGTTTCAAACATGTTTCTTCAGGTGTTAAGGGCTTGAGAAAACAACCCAAGTCCAGACCCTTTCTTCTTCCGTGCCTCGCAATTCATGGCATGACATGGATCTAGCTTCATCCTCACCCACCTCCCAAGACAGGAGTCTCCCTCGTTATCAGGAACATTAGGTCAGCATCCTGGTGGGATGGGTTTGAAGAGGTGAGGGCTAGTTTTACTTTTTCCATTCATCCATCTAGCCACACACAAACACAGTAAATTCATTTACACTGTGGTATGAGTTAAGCACTGTGTTGTGTTGTAGGAAAATGGACACATCCATGTATTAGTTATCCATTGCAGTGTAACAAATTACCCCAATCTAGCGGCTTCAAAACAAGACACACTTATACTATCTGACAGTTACTGTGAGTTAGGAGTTCCAGCACAGTTTACCTGGATCCTCTGCTCAGGCTCCGACCAGGCTGCAAACAAGGTGTTGGCCAGGCTGCTTTCTCACCTGAAGACTGGACTAGGGAAGAATCCACTTCCAAGCTCATTAAAGTTGTTGGTCGAATTCATGTCCTCGAGTCTGCATGAGTGAGGTCCCAGCTCTTACTGACTTTAATCCTCAGGTCCTAAAGGCTGCTCACACTTCCCTGCCACTTAACACTATCCACAGGGGTTTGACCAAGTGGCTGTTTGCTTCTTCAAGGCCATCAGGAGACAGAGCCTCATATAATAAAACATAATAACAAGAGTGACATTTCAGCACCTTTACATAACTACATAACTTTACATAACATAAACTAACCTAATCAAGGGAGTGTCGTTCCAACAACTTTGCCACACTGTGTTGGTTGCAAGTAAGTCACAGACCCACACTCAAGGGGATTACACAAGAGTGGATTACTGGGGTAACCTTAAAACATGTCCTCCACTATCTACTTTAAAACTTCTTTGCAAAGCTCTCATTTTGATGATTTGTTTCAGATGACTGGAGCCCACTCTCATAAAAACTATTTGGAAACTTCTGTCTAGTTACATTATATTAAAACCAATCTATTTAATTTAAACAAAAAAGAGCAATGCTCCCACTTGGTAGGAGATAAGACTCCTTACAGCCTCAGCTATCAACACACGGCTTATGCTATTTCTTTATGTACATATCTATATATGTCCAGTGCATGCCAAATAAAGTCTGTAAGCATTGAAACATAATAATAAAATGAACTCAGGTACCCACATTCCAATGTAAGAGCTAAGCCATTATGACCTCCAATCTATCTACCTAGGTACTTATTCTTATCCCATTCCCCTACCTCCCAGAGGTAACCAACCATTCAGTTGCTGTAATTCACTTGCTTTTTTGATAATTTTATGACACACGTATTTAACAATGAAAGAGTGGTGTACTATTGCTAACTTCTGAACTACAATAATGGCATCACAAACCACAAAGTGTTCTGAGGTTAGCTTTTTCCACACAACATTATGTTTTCGAGATTGATCTCTGCTGCTTCTCCTAGCTGTAGATCAATCATTTCCACTCACACAATTCCACTGTGCAAAGATGACACAAATAAGTAGACATTTGTATCAATATGCATTTAAGTTTTTTTCATTTTTCACTGCCAGGAATACTGCTGCTGTGAACATTGTTACGCATCTCCTAGTACATATATGCAAGTATTTTTGTCTGGAGTATGCACCTAAAAGTAAAATCAATGAGTCTTAGGGTATGCAAATATTCAACTTTACAAGGAATGACAAATTGTTTTCCAAGAAGACTCTTATCAGCAACTTCCTTTAACCTATTTTCTCCTCAACCAGACTTCTTCATGTGGCCAATTCGGAAGCCATAAAAGGGTATTTTATTCTTATCTTACTTTGTATTTTTTGAATATTGGTAAGTCTAAACATTTTATATGCTTATTTTCCATTTGTATTTTCTCTTCTCTGAGATACCGGTTTATTTCTCTGTTGTTAACATCTTCTTTCATATATTTGTAGAAGTCCTTCATATATTCAATGGTTAAACTTTTGTTAATTCTCGTATCAATAAAATAGCTTCTCAAAATACATGGCTGACTTTTCACTTTCTTTATATCTTTTAATAAAGAGACATTTTATTATAGTGAAGTGTATCAATCATTTCTTTTCTGGTTAACCTTTCTGTGTCTTATTTAAGAAATTCTTAGTTTGGGAGACTGAGGCAGGAGGATTGTTTGAGCCCAGGAGTTCGAGGCTGCAATGAGCTGTAAGAGACCCTGTCTCTTAAAAAAAAAAAAAAAAAAAAGAAAGAAAATGTTTCTTCCATATCTCAAGGATAGGAAAAATAAAGATATTTTATG